ATAACCCCGCCCCTGGTATGGATATAATAGGCAAAAAACTAAAAAATCCAAAAATGGGATTTTTTAGTTTTTTGCCTATTATATCCATACCAGGGGGGGGTTATCGAAACCCGTTACAAAATGATTAAGAACATATTGGGTCATATAAAACAGGTCACTATAATTTGATATCGACTATGCGATTTGAGAATTTTTGCTCAAAATTTAATTTTCCATAAAAAATAGGGTTTTTTTGGATGGACCTGGTCCCCTCGGTATCAAAAATTGTTAGGTTTTGTTTCATTTATCGTACTTTATGTAAAGCCAGCTTTCCAAAAAGTATAAATTCTATATACATCTTCTTAGAAAACTTTTTAGATAACTTAAAAAGAAAAGATACTTTTTTCCCAAAAAAATGACAAAATCGCCTTTTTTAATTTTTAAATTAAAATGCCTATAACTTTGGACTCAGTCATGATTTTTACATAATTCTTTCACTGCTTGATATATAAACTTGTTGTTAAGCGAATAAAACAAAATGGCGAAAATCGGGAATATTTGGACCTGCTATTATCAAAAAAACTAAAGTAAGGACGGTAAAAATTTTAAAATTTTAATTTTCAAATGCGAATATCTCCTAAACTATAAGAGATAATTTACTGCTATGACAACATTTTTTTATAGTGCTCGATGAGGAGATTCTATATACGAATTTTTTTTAATCGGAACTTCAAATGAAGAAAATAGGATCGTTTTAAACATTTAACATAGCCGAGGTGTCCTAATTTAATGACCCCCGCCGGGCCCCTGGTTGGCCTATAAGGTCCAATTCAAAACCTAAACTCGACAACACCTCCTCTTTGTGCACACCAAATTTCATTAAAATCGGATAACCGTTTAGAAGTTACCGAATTATTTCCCTCTTTTTTTTTTCCTATACCACTGTGTATCGTTTGAGTATTGTGGTGAGAATCACAGAAAAAATTTTATTGTATGTATAGTTATGTATGTATATTTGAAACGAAAACAACCAAAAAATGTTTCAAAGTAATGAAATACCAGTCAGCCAGGCAGCCAAACAGTCAGTCATTCATTCATTCATTCAGTTAGCCAAAATATAATGAAATGAAAACAAATAACAACAACAATAATAGCAATGAGAACTATAACACAACAGCAGCAGCAACAGCAACAATGTGAAACATGAAGAAACTTATCAACAGCATAAAATGTATAAAAATGTGTGAACAATGTGTGTGCGTGTGTGTGTTTATAATTTTGCAGAGCTTTAAAGGTATTTAATGGTTGAAAGGATTTTTAAAAATATGAATTTATATAATAGGATTGTATATGAATTTAAGTCTATGACTTTTAAAAGCATATATACAGAAATACATATGTCATTACAGAAATAAATATGTTTATTGAAGAAAATGCTGCTATTTAATACCAGCATATGTATGTATTTTTTTGAATACCACGTTTGCCACAATTTCGCTACTATTCCAATAGACTATTCCACAGACTAGTTAATAGTCAACAAAAAATTCCATAGACTATTCAATGAGTCAGTCTATAGACTAGTCAATTGACTAGTCCATATATTAGACAAGGGACTAGTCCACGAATTAATCAATGGAATAGACCAAAGCCTAGTCAATATGCTAGTCTATAGACTAGTAAATTAGCTAGTCCATAGACCTAGACAATGTGCTAGTCAATATACTAGTCAATGGGATAGACCATAGCATAGTTAATTTTATAGTCCATAGATTAATCAATGGGATAGGCCATAGACTAATCAATGGGCTAGTCCATAGACTAGTCATTGGACTAGTCTATAGACTAGTAATGGGCTAGTCCATAGACTAATCAATGGGCTAAGCCATAGACTAGTCAATCGGCGAGTTAATAGACTAGTCATTCAGCGAGTCCATGGACTTGTCAATCGGCTAGTCCATATACTACTCAATCAAGCTAGTTCATAAAGTATTGAATGGTCATATCCATTGACTAGACAATCGGCGAATCCATAGATTAGTCAATGTTATAGACCATAGCCTAGTTAATATGATAGTTCATAGACATATCAATGGGCTAGTTCATAGACTAGTCAACGGGCTAGTTCATAGACATACTAATGGGCTTGTTCATAGACTAATAATTGGGTTAGTCCATAGACTAGTCAATGGGTTGTCCATAGACAAGTCAATGGATAGTCCATAGGCTAGTCAATGGGCTAGTCCATAGACTGGTTAATGGGCTAGTTCATAGACCAGTCAATAGGCTAGTCCATAGATTAGTCAATGCGCAAGTCTATAGACTATTCAATGGGCTAGCCCATAGACTATTCATTGAGCTAACCCATAAACTAGTTAATGTTCTAGTCCATAAAATAGTCAATGAGCTAGTTCATAGACTAGTCAATAAAGTAGTCATTGGTCAAGTCCATAGACTAGTCAATGGTCAAGTCCATAGACTAGTCAATGGTCAAGTCCATAGACTAGTCAATGGTCATGTCCATAGACTATTCAATCAGCTTGTCAATAAAGTAGTCAATGGTCAAATCCATAGACTAATCAATGGGCTAGTCCATAGGCCTAATCAATGGGGTAGTCCATGTACTATTCAAAAAAGTTATTAATGGTCAATAAATAACTCCTTAGATTAGTCCATAGAATAGTCAATGAGGTAGTCCATAGACTAGTTAGTAGCCTAGTTCTGGGCTAGTACATGGACTAGTAAGTGGTCTTGTGTATAGACTAGTCTATAGAGCAGTCAATGGCCTAGTCCATAGACTAATCAATGGGCTAGTCCATAGGCTAACCAATAGGCTAGTCCATTGGCTAATCAATGATCTAGTCCCATAGGCCAAGTAGGAAGTTAGACGATATTAATTATATAATTTCAATGGAATTCAAAATGGCGGCCTTTTTAATCAACCGAATATAAAAGCTATGCTGCTACACATACACGTATACAAATATATATTATTGTATATTATTGTAATTCCTTTAAAACTCTGCCTATAATATTTAGCAGCATCAGCGTTAACAGCTTTGGCAACAACAAGAGCAGCCACTATAACAACAACGTTAGCGTTTTTAAAACAAAATGTATTTTAAAACAATTTGATTAAGAATTTAATGCCATGAAAATGTTTGTTTTTTGTTTATTTGAAAACGGAACAAAAAAATAAGTCTTAAACGAGAAAATGAGAGAAAAATTGTTGTTTGGGTAATAAAAACATGAATAAATTTTTAAACGTTTTTTGAAAACCAATTTTAGAAAATGAGAAAATTAATTTGATTTTTGAAGGTTCTGTGTTTTTTTTTCAAAATATTTTCAATGAAATTTTTTTGTTGTTGATTAAAGCTTTAAATGCATAAAAAAGTTGTTAACAACAAATACAAGTTTCTTTATTTTTACTTGTATATTTAAAATTTTAAAATTTGTGGAGTGAAAGAAGAAGAGTTAGAATGAGAAAAAAAAAAAAAAACAACAAAAACATTAAAAAAACTTACAGTTATAACAATTCTATTCTTAGCACTTGTTTTAATAAGTTTACGGCGTTGGTTGGTGTTGGTTTTGAGTTTGGTTTTATTAACGGTAGAAATAGACGAAGTAGAAGAAGCAGTTGTTCTTGCTGTAGTTGTAGTAGTAGTAGTAGTGATGGTGGTTTGTATGTTTTTAGCATTTCCGTTATCCGGCTGCCAGTTTATATTTTAAACATTAAATTTTTTTTGTTTAGTTTTGTTTTTGGTATTAAATATATTTATATACAAAAAGATATATAAAACCATACATTTGTATATATACAAAATTTATATAAATTACAGAGAGATATAGGTGAAGGTTTATTGTTTTGTTAGTAGCAAAGGATGTTGTTTTAGCAATAGTAGTAGTAGTGGTTGGTTGTTTATAAAGGCATTTGTTGTAGTAGTAAAGTATTATAGTTGTTATTTTAAAAACCGTCATATACACACACATACAAATATAAACAATTGAATTTTATTACATTTTATTTTGTTGAAACGTAACCATTGTATTGTTCAATTGTTGGTTTCAGTTGTTTGTTTAGTTCGTGGGTTGGTTTATTTGTTTTTTTAAGGATTTTTATGTCAAGGTGTTGTTTATTGGTTTTGTAGCAAAAATTTAACGAAATTTTCATTTGGCAGTTTATTTATTTTAATGTTTCATTTTCAAGTAAAATTAATTGGTTTTCATTTTAGAATTTCAAGTAAAAGCACAAAAAAGAAATAGAAGAAAAAAACAAATATAAGAAAAAATAGAATACAAGAATTAGAATTTTTCATTAAAAAATTTGATGAAATGAAAACGATTATTTGGTATTTTTCGAAAATAAATTAAAAAAATTATTAAAATATTTTGGTTTTATTGTCTTTTTTTGTTCTGGGAGCGTATTCACTATCTAAAGATGTTTTTGAATGTAAAGAATTTTGTTTAAATTTGATACGAATGTTTGGTTACACACCGATTTATGGTTCTAAAGATTATGAATACTAATATTAGTAATTTTATTGTTATTTAAACCAAATAAAATGTTAACAGCTAAGATAGCTTAAATTGAATTAAATAATTTTTATAATTTTAAATCATATAAAAACGGAATAGGATCGCATATCAGCAACATATTTTAAAGAGTTATTGTTGTAAATAAGATAAATTCTAACAAAAAAAAAAAAACGAGTAAGAATTTGTAGTCGGACATGGCCGACCATATGATACCCTACACCAGTGTTTATGTTGACAAAAGAGGGATTTTCTAAAAGGGGGTTAAATGGGGGATGGGGTTAATATGGTCCCATCCTTATCAATTTTGGTAGAGGAATTTGCGTCTACATTAATTATTTATGCAGAATATCATCGTGATATTAGAGTTTATAAATTATTTTCTGAAGGGGACTTTGTATGGGCGATAGGATCAAATGAGGCCCGATCATTACGGAAATCAGTATCATTAAGACTTATATAAATTTTTTTTTCGGTTTTTAAAGTGATACAAGATTATTTAACATATTTATGAGCTCAAAAGCCCTATTCGGGAGTTACGGTTGTATGGAGGCTATTCGAATTAGTGGACCGATTTTAACAATTTTCAATAGGCTTGAGTCAAAAGAAGAGTATGTGCTAATTTTCATGAAATTATCTTGAAAATTGCGACCTGTAGAGTGCGCACAAGGTTCACATGGACATACAGACGGATGGACGGACGAACGGACGAACGGACAGACGGTCATAGCTAAATCGACTCAGATTCTTAGCCGATTGGTATACTTTAAGGTGGGTGTAGGACTTTTGGGTGTTACAAACATCAGCACAAACACATAATACCCTACCCACTATAGTGGTGTAGGGTATAATTATATGAAAATAATGTTCTCAAGTTTTCTAATAATATCAATCTAATCAGTATCCTTTTTGATAACCCAAAATTCTCTAGAAAATCGAATCTATGTAATGTCTAAGCCTCCAAATAAATGTGCTTCCAGAGATCTCTTATGTCTAGTTTTTGGGAGACATTTTATGAAATAATAGATCTATTTTAAGAAGTTTCAATAGATTTCATATTTAGAGTCCAACATAGATGGATAGAATAGATTTCATATTTAGAGTCCAACATAGATGGATAGACGGACGTCTTTAAATCGACAAAATTGGATTTTGAATCGATTTTTGTCTTGAATGTTGAACTTCGTAAACAAACCATAGCTGTGCATAGGTTTAAATTTATCCATAGAAATTTGTCATCCATATCTGACTCTTTAGAGAATATATAAAATCTATGTAATATATATTTCAGTCCCCCAAGCAAATGTACTTCCCATATACTCTAATGTATGTATATTTTTTGGGAAACAGTAATAATGGGTCTTTATATAGTAAACATGGATTTGGGTTTTCTGTATATGAGACCAATATTTTCACAAATTTTGCATTATGACACTTTTACAATAAAAACATTTACATGTTAATATATAAACACATACATACATACTGTAGAGATATCTAGAAAAGCTTTTGATTTAATTCCACTTATTATAATTGTTAGCATTTTTCTCTACAATTTTCCTCATTTTCAAACAAAAAAATTTCCTTGAACTCTAATGCTCTTCTATATCTTTTGTTTTATTCTACGAAATCCTTATTCTCTGTATAAGTCCTACATTTCCTTTTTTTAAACAATGTAACATTATTATTATTATTATTTGCTTTTGTGCATATACATACACACATGGCACACACATACAATACATATCACATAAATAAAATAATGTGTATTATTTTATAACTTCTGCATATGGCTCCTTCTCTCCTACTTTTTTTTAAACACACACACACACACGAAACTTTAGTTGAAATCCCTGGATAACAAATAAAAAGGACTAACTTGTTACATAAGTGTATGTAATTGTGCGTATGTGTAAAATTTTGTACTTTATTTAACAGTATAATAAAGAAAAAAGTTTTTCTTTTGTTTTAAATTTTTTTTTCATTTTTTTTTTGTGTTTAATTTTATGAATTTACAGCTGAGAGTATAAAGGCAACAATAACAACTACTAAATACTAGATGAAAGAGTATTTTCACGCACTCATATGTATATATCAACTACAAAATAACAACATCATCAACAACAACAAAAATGTATAAACTTTTATAATGACAACAATGTTTAGTTGAGTAAAACAAGTAGGATTCTTTGTTGTTTCCTTTAGTTTCTTTTTTTTCTCATACTTATATTTATAGTTGTTGTTGTCATAAATTGTTGAGCCATTATGCATCATTTTAGTATCTTTTGTTTGACTGAGTGTTTGTTTCAATGTGAATTAAGAATGTTGCTGTATGTGTGTTTCCGTTTGATGATAATCCAACACTCAAGTTAAAAATTGAGACAACATATGTTGCACAACTAATTTATAATAAAGGACTTTGACAACAACAAACAACAGCAGTAAGAAATGTTAACTTTTTTTTGTCAAAACTCTCTTATAATTTATATAAATGAATAGATAAAGTTTTACTTTGAGAAAATGTTTTTTGTGGAAAATTGACAAGAAATTTTTTTTACTCTTTTTAAGGATTTCTTTAAGAACCTTTTTATTTTAAGTATTTTTTTGTTAGAGTTTACTTTTAATGAGTACTACTTAACACTATATTTTGATAAAAACAAGAAATTTTGCTAAAGTAAGGAAATATAGTGGGGCATATACGACAATTTGATAACGTACACCAGTTGCAATAATATTTAAAATATAATTTCGGTAGGAATTATAAGTAGATAATGAGCTTTTAAATGGAAGTAACTCTACGAAGTTAAGTCTGTAAGACAAATCGAGAAGTATATTTGTTAGGAGGCTATATAAGGCTATAGATCCATATTAAGTAGAATAAAGAACTGTTCAGAACACTTTGTGCAGTTTTTAAAAGGCAACTTTGACAACATCAACCTTAACAATGACAATAACAAAATGTATTTATAGTTGTAAGCATGCAAGAGTATTTAATTAAAAAGCTCTATTCTTTCAGGAAGTAAATAAAACAAAAAGAATGTTTCAAGTAAAATTATCATTAGCAATTGCTACTAACAACATGCGAATACAAAGTACTATGTAAGTATGTATCTATACATTAAGTATTTATACTATAAACATTAATTTGTAATCAACATTAAAGTAGATGACTTTAAACAGTTCCTTATAATCATCATACAGAAAATGTTTATACTCACACACACATACTGATACATACATACAATTGTACTAAAAGTACCCAGCAATACGGGAAACTATATAAAAATTTGACGTTATATATCATTTATATGATAAATGTAAAATTCTTACAAAAAACACCAAGCAGATGGACTTAATTCTGAGACAATTTTAATACATTAATGTAAATTTACACAATTTTCCCAATCATAATGCTACAGAATAAAAACTCTATTGCATTACTTAATTAAATACCAGTAGACGCAAAAGGAACTACTGTAGCCAAAGGCAGCATTTGTTATTTTTGAAAATCTACAGGGTTACCATTTGTATGCTTGCAATTTTACAAATTTTCATTTTACATACACATTTACAACATGATTTTACGGGTATTTCCTGTGAAATACGTTAAAGGTGTACTTCGTTTGGTTGGTCTTCTATTGACTATAGCTGAATAAAATCATAAAGCAGATAAATTTGAACTATAGTACATGGTAGTAACAGCAGTTATACAAATGTATATTGTGGCTATATTTAGCATTAGATTACATAGTTTATTTCAACACACATAAGAATTAGATGATGTCGAAAATGTACGTGTGTATAGACGAAATTTGTTGGACTACAATTTATGAAGCAATTTAAGTTAATTGCTAAGTAACTCATTTAAATATGTATACATTAATAATCTAACTACGCTCTCTACAGACACACGCATGCCATAAACTTCGTTTGAACGCAGTTTGGGTCTGCAGGATTTTCTACTTATAAAGCTCAAACATATTTGCGCATACACTTATATACATCAGTATGTATATAAGTATATTTAAGTGCAAATACAATATTGCAAATATAGTTTCTGTTATTTGTACCATTCAGCGTGTATGCTTATTTGTATGTATTTAATGAATATAAAGTTTACAGGATGTAAATTCAAATACAAGCTCATGCTTATGACTTTTTACGTTAAGGACAAACA